TCATGGGTCACGAGGTCAATTACTGTATGTCCTCCAGAGACACTAGCACTCGACTGATGTGAGTCTATTCTCTTCAATGCCTTGTGAAGAGAAAAGCCGCATGTTTGTAACAAACAAATCCATCATTAAGGCATTTTTTAACTTCTAGCTGAGTCCATAATCCATAATCATGTTTCCTGCAGTGAAAAAGTCCATCTCCTGTTGTCCTTTCACATCAAAATCAACTGACATATTTCTCTCCTGATTCAGACATTTTTGACTTGTATTTTAATGGTTTGAAATTAAAAACATCTTAATGATGGATTTTGTTTTTTTTACAAACACGCAGCTTTTCTCTTCGCAAGACATTAACTGATGGACTGCAGTCATGTTGATTACTTGTATAGTATTCTGATGTTTTTATCAGCTCTCATTCTGACGGCACCCATTCACTGCAGAGGATCCATTGCTGAGCAAGTCATGTAATGCTACATTTCTCCAAATCTGATGAAGAAACAAACTCATCTACATCTTGGATGACCTGAGGGAGAAATTTGAAACTAAATATTTAACTTAAAAGGGAACCCCACTGAACAATGACTCAAATGAATCATTTTCTTGAACTGGTCAACAGTATATAAATCGTCCAAATGAATGAATCCACTGAAAGTATCACAATTTCCTAATAGTACATAAGAGAAACATTTTATGTTTGCTGCTTGATTATTGCCTCATCTCACTTGTGCAAAAACAAAAAGGAATGCAACGTTTGTCACACTGTACTGATAGAATTGAAAAGATGCAAAAAAACAAAAAAGTGTAAGTGTAAGAGAGGCCAGCGAGTAGGTGCTGTGCAGGTAAACCTCACTCCCCTGATCTCAAGAGACGCACTAGCGACTGATGCTAGAGGCTGCAGTCTTCAGCCTCTTTGTTAGTGCGTCCGCCTCCCATGCCGGAGACCTGGGGTCGAGACCCAGTCGGAGCAAGAACGAGGTGTGGCAGTGAGGACCCGGGAGAGAGGGGTTACATTGGTGCCGTGACCCGGATGGGAGTGAGGATTAGGGAGGGTGAGTGTAACGGAGGCCAGCAAGTAGGTGCTGTGCAGGTAATCCTCACTCCCCTGATCTCAAGAGACGCACTAGCGACTGATGCTAGAGGCTGCAGTCTTTAGCCTCCTTGTTAGTGCGTCCACCTCCCATGCCGGAGATCCACTCAGAGCAAGAATGAGGTGTGGCAGTGAGGACCCGGGAGAGAGGGGTTACAACTATAGAAAGTATATAGTTTATATACTACTGCCTACACTCTTAAAAATAAAGGTGCTTCACGATGCCATAGAAGAACCTTTTTGTCTAAATGGTTCCATAAAGAACCGTTAAAGGGGTCATATGATGCTTTTTTAAATATCATAATTTTGTGTATTTGGTGTAACAGAATATGTTGACATGCTTTAATGTTCAAAAAACACATTCTTTTTCAAATACTGTACATTATTGTAGGTCCTCTATGCCCCGTCTCTCTCAAACACGTCGTTTTCTACAAAGTCCCTCCTTCCGACAAGCGCAGTCTGCTCTGATTGGCCAGCTGACCCAGTGCATTGTGATTGGACGAACACCACAAGCACGCGTCGGAAATGTAACGCCCCTTACCATAATCGCGAGCTTCATCTTTCAAAATAAATGTAAAGACAGTAAATAATGTCATTAGTTTTACCATCAGTTCAAGCCCGAAAGGGCAACAGAGTCGCGCGACAGACACAGTGATGATGCAGTACACAAGCCACGGTTAAGACAGCTGACTCCACTGTGAGTGACCCTGTCTCTCTCTCTCCTCTCTCTCACACACACGCGCGCACACACACACACACACACGATGCGCAAAACTCCGCATTTGAACAGTCAATAGCAAATACTTAAACCAATAACAACAGAGTCTTAACTTTGATAAAGAATATCTCTTTGGTTTTGAGACTTTAGTCTTTGCAACTTCAGGGATCTTATCTATGCACAATCAGCTTGTAACACTCCAAAGAGAAAGGAAAACTTGAAATCGCATCATATGACCCCTTTAACATCTGAAGAAACTTTCTGTTTCACAAAAGGTTCTTTGTGGCGAAATAAGGTTCTGAAGATTACAAAAAGGTAAGAAAGAGATGGTTCTTTAAAGAACCTTTGACTGAATGGTTCTTTGTGGAACCAAAAATGGTTCTTCTATGGCATCGCTTGAAGAACCTTTTGAAGCACCTTTATTTTTAAGAGGGTACTGTAAGGTAAATTACAGTAAATACAACATTTTGTTGTTAAATTTATTCATAACAAAATTAATAGTAATGTGTTCATGTATTTACTGTTGTAATAAAAATTTAATAAAATAAAAAGGTAAAAATTAAATTACATTAATAAAAAATGGTACATTTAAAAATAAAATTAATAAATGTAAATCTTTCATTAAAAAAACAAAATATAAACTGAAAATAAATTAATCATAAAAATGTATTTACATTTACTGATGTAATGCAAAATTATAATCATATGAATGAAAATGTATTCATGTACACCTCCAATGAATAATAAAATAAAATAAAATAAAAATACAAAATGAAATAAAAAATATTTCATTATATTATTATTTTTATTTATTTATTTTTTAATTGTGGCCTTAGTAACATCCGCTTATGTGGTCACCACTCAAAGGTTTGAACTTCATGTGAGTTTCTTCTCGTCACAACCAGCATAGTCTCAAGTCACTACTTCTGCAATAATAGATCACTAACAGAGCAAAAACACAGAAAACAGCAACATCAGATTTCTCAAACCCAACCTCAGAGTCAAAACACTCCTCAACAAGCTGTTCCTGTAATGCTTTACCTCCTTCAAAACGCACACTTCAGCAGCTGTCTGATACGTTTCAAACAAACAGCACTTCCCTATCGCTCCCACAGTACTGGATCTGTCTCATATCATTCCCACATCTGCGTTCCTCATTCAATCGCCTCTGTCTCATATCATTCTCACATCTGCGTTCCTCATTCAATCGCCTCACATTCATGAAACGTATCAATAATTCAGCGCTACATACTGCAGCAAACGGGGCCGTGTGTTTGAATATGAAATCAATTAAGCGCACAAACACACTCGCTCATAAACACGCAGGCTCATGAATAATGTCTGCTGCTCTCCGGAGGAACGTTTGCCCTGGATTCTTCACAGGGCGACTCGACGCAACCCCACCGCGCGTGTGTGTGTGTGGACAGTTGGGGGAGGAGACGCTTCTCCTGCTGTCTCACAGTGATTTAAAAGCAAGAGGAAAGCACTCATCTCATTTAACGCTCTCTGGTGTCTCACTGCTGTAGCACTCACATACATGCTCCACGACCAAAGATGCACTGCATGCAGACTGATATTGATCCTTTTTGGGGTATTATGACTGGTAAACAAACTGCTTTGCATGATGTTTTAAAACATTGTTTATACTAAAGCTCACATCTACAATTTGACACAGAAAAACAAACATCAACACATTTCAATGTGAAAAAACGTCTCAGGTTACTTATGTAACCATGGTTCCCTGAGTAGGGAATATTTTTAAGCCATTATCCAATTAAGACATCAGCAAATTCAGACACATATCACTCAATTACAATTGAAATATTTATATTTGCTGGTATGGATATGTAGAAATAATAATTTTAATTTAATTTAATAAAATACATTTTAAAAACAAAAAAGATAAATAAATAATTTTAAAAGACTGTTAAAAAAACAATTGAAATATGAAATTAAACAATGACTAATGCATCCTAGTACATAAAAGGACTGTTTTATGTAAAAAAAAATTTTTTTTAAATATATATATATATATAAAAGGGTGGAGTTTAAGTGGACTAAATGATTGGAGAAATCTGATATACATCACCAGAGAGAATCTGTCATTTCACCAGGAGATCTATAGTAGGTATGACAAAATCTATGTAAACCACAAGCAAATCCAGACCAGTATTGATCATTTAGAATTGAAATGCTTATTTTGGTTGATATGGCTACATAGAAACCCATACATCAAGCACTGCTAATAAAAATAAAACATTTTAATAACAAACCCCTGTGCACTTAAACAAATTCACAATCTAATGACTAATTCAACAAAGTAATTCGCGTTAATGAAGAACATTGATCAAGTGATCCAACACCAGCCATGGAGCTCCTGAATAATTCATGAGAGTATCTGCATATGCTAATATCGGTGATTATGAGCTAAAATGAGTAACTGCTTTCTGTCTGACATGTGCTTGTCAAAAATAACTCCATTTGTATCTAAACTGCACACAATTGAATGGCAAACAACAAACTATGATACTAGATACACACAATAAGTTAATATCAACCAATTATGTGTTTGAAAGTCACATCAGATGATTGAACAGTATCATATACAGCATGAGAAGCTATAGAAAATTGATTTACTTATTGAATTAGAAAATCATTAACTCCCAATATTGGCCAGTTCAGACCAATTTTGATCAAGGAACACACTGATAGATTTATCAATAATTAAAAAAAGCCAGACATATGCCAATATTTACATGGTAACTACATGAATGTAATGACTTATTCTACAAAGCAATTAAAAAACAGCGTTTAGTAATTTAACACAGGGAAAAGTCATGGAAAGCCTGCATAAATTCATGAGCGCATCTGCATAATATCGCGTAAAAATCTGCATAACTTTGCTAATTGTGACCTAAAATGAGCGTCAGTCTTCCGTTTTGTGATTGCAAAGCGACAAAAATGACATTCCCACAATAAATTCACAAACAGATTCCTCAACTACAACACTAGATGCACACAACTAGTTAACATTAACTATAAAATGACCATGAGAGCAAGCGAATAAGCCTAAACAATGGGAATAAAAGCATGAAAAAGTGGACTATAACAGAGCGCCGACCCCAGACGGAGAAGAGGTCAGAGGTCAGATGGAAAAGCACGCTCATTCAGAGCAGATAAAAGCGGGACGCTCCTTACCTCGGACAAGTAGAGGAAGGCATGCGGCGCGTGCAGCGAGTGAGGCAGCATCCCGGAGCCGGACAGCAGCATGCATGCAGAGTTTGCCATGGAGCTCAGAGAGGACGGTTTCCACATTTAACTACACACTGCTGTCTCTCTCTCTGTCTCTCGTCCTGTTGTCGACACGGCTTCCCTCGCTCTCTCTGTTTACTCTGCACACAATAAAGATCACTTAAACATTCACATGCTAAGGTGGGAGGTGCATGAGAGCAGAGGAGGGATGCGCAACTGCGTGTGTGTGTGTGTGTGATGGTATAGCGGCGCTGCATGTGTGCTTTAATTGCCCACGACCCCCTTCAGAGACCAAACACTTACAAAGACCCCTGAAAACACACTCAAGGACACACACACACACACACACATGAATGAGGACATGCTACAGACTTCTGCTGCTTTATAAAAAGCTAATTATAGTCACTGCACACCCTTAACCTGACATTCATTCATTTAGCTGATGATTTGATGGAAAACACCTAAAAAAAGGATGATATGAGAAGCAATTTGTCAATATTTTATTTCTGTCAGGACGACTATCGTCAATATAACTTACGATTAGCATACATTTTAGGTTGGGGGAATGGTTCTGTTCTGGGCAAACACTCCCTGCCCATCCACGCAGCCTAGCATGGATAGGAGCAGAGACAGCAGAATACCCCCCTCCCCAGCAGAACAGAATCAACATCAATGATAAATGTAGCAGATACCATTAATGTTCTACGTGATTATTTTAACAACATGATTCAGTGGTCTGACTCAATGATATATTCACTGCTAAGTCCTGACTGGACGAGAGGAGGAGCTGGGGATGGAGGTGGTTGATTAGTTCCTGAGCGAAGCGATAGCTGCTGAATAATGACTGAAGGGACCTTATGAAGGGAATTATGATTGGTGTCGTGATCCTATAGGTAGACGTGGATCAACTGAGTGTCAGCTGATGCGAGCTTGACTAACATGGCCTGCCAGAACTATCGCTATGCTCCATTAATAAATAAAGCAGCAATTACATAAAAAAATATGCATTATTTGCTGTATCTGTGAATAATTTTTCCCTCATCCTCATCCCACTGGAAGGTTTTGTCTGATGTAACTCACTTCTGGGATTATTTTTGTAATCTAATGTGTCTCATTTGAAAGCTTTACATAATAGGTTTCGACATTTTGTAGATTATTCCAGCTTTAGGTGTGTGATTTTTGCTATTTATACACATTATGCTTAAAAACAAGTCAGATTATAATTGCACACTGTTTGAATATTCCACATTTAAAGTCAAGCTGTGATGACATCACTATAATATTCGCATACTCGCATTCTGATTGGTCTTTATTACACTGCAACGATGCTACTTTATCATTCAAAAGTCAGTGCGATTCTTTTCTTTTGAAATAAATTCATACTATTATTTAGTAAGGATGCATTAAACTGATCAAAAGTGACAGTGAAGATGTGTATAATGTTACAAAAGATTTCTGTTTCATATGAATGCTGTTCTTTTGAACATAAAATAATTTTGAAAAAAAAAAAAAAAACCTTGACAAAAAAATTGGCAGCACAACTGTTTTCAAAATTTATAATAATCAGAAATGTTTCTTGAGTAGCAAATCAGCATATTAGAATGATTTCTGAATGATAATGTGGAAATTCAGCTTTGATCAAAGGAATACATATACAACATATTGAAGTAGAAAACACATTAAATTGCAAAAATATTTCACAACTTTACAGCTTTTACTGTATATTTGATCAAATAAATGCAGCCTTGGTGAGCAGAAGACACTTAAGTAAGAGAAATCTTACTGACTCCAAATTTTTAAACATGGTGTTGGATGGAGAAGAATGTGCAAGATCCGTTTTAAGGGTTACTAAAGAGTCAGTTCAGTTTGAAATTCTCTACATACTTGCAGCATTGAATCAATAGATTCACAGCGCTCTCTGACGCCTAGTAAGTGCCCTTATGTGTTCATTCCTGTCTGCAGTCGATAAAAAAACAACAACATGCAAGCCGAGCACATCACCTCATTCAAGACTAAAACACAAAACCTCACTATTCCACTGCTGTCGAACAAATTCCGATGCTAATCTGTTTCTCTGCTGGTAAAAGGTTTATAATGCACTAAAAGTGTAATACTGTGTCTAAGTATGAAACTACATCACAAATGTATGGTTTCTATACGCTCTGGACACTATTACAGTATTTTAACATTCAAAACAAGACAAAAACAATGGGCAGAAAGTGTGAAATTAAGCACTAATAATCTCACATCACTGTGTTCTACATACAGTACTGTGTTCATGTGCATATTCTCACTGTAAAGACTGTTACCTGTTTACATGCACTCACACATAAGCAGAGGCATCAATCAAACGCTGTGTGTCAGTAACAGATGTTTTGTGTACGGCGCCCATCACACACACACACGCGCACACGCTAATGTGATTTCACTACAAATTACATCACTGCAACACTGTGTGTGTGTGTGTGTGTGTGTGTGTTCAGCAGCAGGTTTGCCTGCGTCTTTGATGTGTTACACTTCATTTGAGCCGCACGTTTTCTGCAGCGTCTCGCCCTCATGTGATCACACGACCACGGGGCCGTTTACACGCTGTTATCAGAACTAAGACCAAAACTATTGACTATAAACTCAAATCAACTCGTATTTCATGTACATTCAACATTATTTTCCAGATTATTCCAGTTTCAGGTGTGCATTTTTGCTATTTATAAGCTTTATACTTAAAACTGTACAATTAAAAAATGAAAATCTCCCATTGATGTAAACTAAGCATATTCCACATTCAAAGTTGAGCTGTGATGACGTCATTATATTATTTGCATGATGCATTCTGATTGGTTGTGATTCTGATTGGTCTTTGTTATGCTGCAATGATGGCATTACTTTAGACTGCTATTCAAAAGTTTGTGGTTAGATTTTTTTTATGATCATTTTTTTTACTTTTATTAATCAATGGTGATTCAGTTGATCAAAAGTGACAGCAAAGACATTTATAATGTTGCAAAAGTTTTGTATTTTAAGTAAATGCTGTTGTACTTTTTATTAATCAAAGAACCCTGAATAAATCCTGGTTTTCATAAAAATATGAAGCAGCGCAGCTGTTTTTAACATTGATGAAATACGATTTTTTTTTCTTGAGCAGCAAATCAGCATATTAGAATTATTTCTTAAACATCATGGAAAATTAATTAATGCAAGGAAAAAATATTAAAAAAGCGGCTGAAACTAAAATAAAATTATAAACGTTTTTTTTTATTTTTTTTTTTACTTTTTTGAACTTTGCTGCATTTTCCACTTTGTATGTTTTGTTTCTGCCTCTACATTAATGTGTTTTATGTATTATTATGTATGTATTTGTAAAGCAACCTTGAGGTCACGAAAGACACTTAAAAATACACTTTAATTCTGTACCGGGTGCACTTCCGAGCAAGTTTACCATGTCAGAAATGCCATAGATATAGAGCAGATTTTGTGATGAGAACATCAAAATGTATTACATTACAAGTCATGCAAAATGGTGAACATGTTTTGATGTCATAACATAGTATTGTACATGAAAATATGTCTTTATTAATTGATAATCTGCACTTAATTATAATTTGAGCAAACAGGAATAAAAGTTGTTGGTGTTTTACTGCCACTAGTGTTAACTTCACCTGGAAACTGCAGTGAATTTTATGCATAGGTAAGTTTTTGGAGCAAAAATGTAGACATACACACGTTTTCAATGAGCCTAGCTTGTTTTTTTTTTTCGGCATCTCTCACCATTTTTATTCTGTGTTTAAGACATATCTGTTTAAAACTGAAAAAAAAATCCATCTTGAGAACGTGCTCTTTTCCATCCCTTTATGTTCTGTTTTTAAAAAGCTGCTTCAGACATGAAGAAAGTTATTACATTTTGATGAAAGATCATAAAAACAGAATGTTTTCTTGGGAATTACAAACACAGAAGAATTGTTCACAATAAAACCAGAAGCATGACACTAGTCCCATCCCAAATCCACCAAAAAGACCTTCTGATGCCATTTGGCCAACCAACTACATAACAAACACACTCGTGACAGTGTGTGATGAAGAGCCGCAGGACCTGACAGAGACACAGACATCACCTGAGAGACAGACAGAGACTGTGAGAGGTGCTGCACTGCAGATGCTGCAGGGCAAAAGCAGAAACATGCAGCACCATTAATCACTCCCAGAGAAAGAGAAAGAGAGATGGAAGATGAGGAGAAATACAGGACACAGCGGTGGAGGAAGAGAACGTGAAAAGTGAGTCCACTCACAGAGGAGCAGAGAGATGAGACGGAGGAGTGAACACTGGGGACGATCCTGTTCACTCGCTCCCCAAAGATACAGGAGCAATCCCGCTGGCCTACTCACTAGTGCAGTCACCTTTATAGCACTTTATACCGTACAGATTGTGTTCAAGTTTCGTCACCTTGGAATTATAAGGTTCTATCTGACATTTTTGTAAAAATTGAGTTATTCACATATTCATATTCTGTGACAACTTATTTACATTATGTGATGTTTCTTTTTTAAGTTGTGTACACTTTGGTACTTTTTTTTAGAAAACAAAAAGGTTCTATCTACAAAGTCGAACTCTAACTTGGTTCTATAAGGTTCTATCTGAGTGAGCCAATCAGCACTTCGAATGCACACACGAGGACCAATCAGCATCAGCTTTCTTTGTCATGTCGCCAGACTGCGCCGCGATAGTGGAAGAGAGTGCAGAAAAATGCTAAATCGGTGAAGAGAAGACTAAATAATTTCACACAACGCGGTGCTTATTAGAAACCTCATGATCGACTATTTTATTTATGATTTTGTCAATGACAGCAGCCCAAATTCCACGGAATTACAGTCTTTTTGTGTGTTTTGCTGTAGCTATTGCGGAGTTATTTTCAGTTAGACACCACGCTAGCCAGCAGCGCTATTAAGAGGATAGGTCCGGGTTTTCGAGTTGTTGCATAGTTTAAGTAATTTAAATATTTTAAATGTGAAATATTTTTAATTATACATATATAGTCAGTGAAACATTTTTCAATGTTTATTAAACTTTGTTAAACACCTTTGCTGAAGCATTGTCTGTTTTCTTGCAGTTTTTTTAGTCTTAAAATGTCTTATATTTTACAATATT